GGAACTGTATCTGTTTTGGAAGCATGAATATCAAACACAGCTCATAGCACTTTCTTTCACTAAACTGCAACTTGATCTTGGGATTTGACTTATTGCTCCATGGTTCTCTTTCCCAGGTTTGACTATTTCAGTTCATCTTGCTTCAGTTTACTCTCGAAGATGACAGTGTCTTCCATGAGAGAAGGCCATGATAAACAACCCACAGCCTGATGATATCAATTGAATGTTAATAATGGACTATGATTTTTCTTTTTTTTTTTTTTTTTCCTCCCAACATCTCTAGATGAAATTGAAGTAGCTACATTTCTGTTCATCATGTTTGTATGTGTACATGGAGAAAATATTGTGAACACTTTCCACTTCATTTTTACAGTCTGTAGAGTATAATTTTAAAAAGGTGCCTAAAGATACAGGCAGGTAGATTACAGAACTTTTATTCATATTAATGACAGCTAGATGGGAAAGATGTTTGCAAAGTAAAAAAAAATAAAAATGTTTATACTCTTTGACTCTCTTCTCTCCCTTATTTAACTTTCTTGTGCCAGTGTACAAGACTGATAATTTTTACTGAAGAATCCAACAGTAAAGATTGCAAATTAGACATTTCAGTTCTCAGTAAACCCCCTTCAACAGTTGGCTTGTCAAGCAAGAAAAGAATATTCCACTGGGCACATTGTTTGGTATTTGGATTGGAATCTGACCTTATTCTCTGCTAATCTTTCATCAGGTCTATAAATGAGCTGAATGTCAAAGATAGTCAGAGATGCAAGACGACTCAACAGAGGTTAAGGATTTTTCTTGCAAACAATAGAAGTTAGTGTCCTAAACAATATTACAAATGATATAATGCTTTGAATATGCACTAAGCCAGGAAGAAATCAGGTAGGTCAGTATTATCTTCTTTTTCTGCATATGCTTCAATACTTTAAAACATTTTATTACTAGTTAACTACTGTAGAAACAGATGATAGAAAATCAAAGTGAGAGAATATTTTCAACTCTATAACTGCTGCAGAGAAAAATTTGATAGAATTAGAATCTGGGCAAACTAGGGTGAAGTGATCTGTGCTATGTCTGAACAGGGGGACCTTGAACCTCGCTCTCTCTCTGAATGCATTCCTCAGTAGTACCCCAGCTGACACAAAGAAACCTACCCCCTCTTTTTTTTTTTTTTCCTAAACTCTCATTCCTATATACAGTGGTGTTGGCTAGAATGGGGACTGTTTCAAGGTCTGGCTAATTGCGCTTGAGATATCATGAAATGCACCTCCCTGTGGATAGGTCTTGGTGCTTAGCATTTCTAGTTTCCAACTAAAGCTCAGTTCACTACACTATCCTGTTTCCTGGGAAAAATTGCAGCACCTAATCCCAAAAATATTAGAGTGTCCAGTCAAGTCAATGGTCCCAGTTGTACACCTGATTTTCATGCATGATTGATATGTGCTTGCAGTAGTTCTGTATCATCCTGAACGTGCAAATTAGGTGTGCAATTTGTGCTCTTGTAGTTTTGGAATTAAAGTTGTACATGCACTAAACACTGACCAGTACAGTCCTCTTAATATATTGACTACATGCCATTTATTTGGAATAACATGCAAAACTAAAATAGGGCTTAATCCCTTTTTTTATGGATCTTATTTCCAGTTGGACTTTCTCTGGGATGGTGTTGGTCTGCTACTACAAGAATCCTGTCCTACCTATGATTGAATAGTTTCTTGTCAGTGATGAACTGATGAGAATTGTTTCTCATCAGTCACTGTCCCCTCATACCTGGTAGTAAACAGAGGCCTGCCAAAAAGACAAGACTTTGAAAGTTACATAAATGTGCATATCTTTTAAAAAGGGAATGACCAGAAAGACAATAACCCAAAGGCAGCAGCATGGAGAACAGTTCATCCCATTATTGGTTTTAAAATCTAAATGTCAAGAAACCAATGCAGAGAATACTTTAGTCCTAAACTGCAATCTAAAACTTAACCCATAAATTCTTATTCTTGTATAGTTTAGGTGTTTTTTGGTTTTTTTTTTTTGTTTGTTTTTTTTTTAATTTAGATCAGCTTTTTGAGCCAGACATGCAAACTCAAAACAATCTGACTTTCTGGCTAGGTAAAACTTAATATTATGTTACTGTTATACTACAGATACGAAGGGAAGGCTAAAGAGTATGACAGTCTTGAATAACAGTGCTTGGATAAAGAGCACAGTGCCGAGTGAAGATCAGATAGTAGCAGCAAAACATTTTGAAAAGAAGGACATGGATTCAAAAACAAGAAATCAGCCTATATACAAAAGTCTGTACACTTGCAACGAGGTGTAAATTTTTGACTCTTAGAAGCTGTAATTTTAATAAACTAGAAATGCTTGGAAACAAGAGGAATAGTTTAGAAAATAACAGGCTAAATCTAAAGAACTTTGTTCTCTTGCATCTTGTAGCACTGGAAATACTATGCAGTACTGCAGAGATACAATACACTAATGGATTTATAAAATAAGTTTTAGCACACACAGACCTGTTGGCCTTACTCAGACATAGCACAGAAGCACAACAGGAAGAAAACATGACATACTGATAGTATTGAGACACTTGGGCAAAAGCAAAATACTGAAAGACTAGACGCTGAGCTGTTTTTCTATGGAAATGCTGTTATTGCACACTGGGCATCCAGTTCCATACCCTGTGTGAATAGCTGTGACCTCTGACAGGTGAGCTGCAGGATCTCTTAGTCATCACTGGGCTACGAGGAGGTTTACCCATAACAAATATCTCTCTCTTTAAATTAGCCTAGAAAAACCACAAAAACCATGTCAAGTGAGAGTTTAAGAATGAAGCATCAAGGGATTTTTTTTGTTGCTTCATTCATACATGCATACTGGACATGCTTTTCTTGAGAACAAAAAGGAATTGTGTTACAGGTGCAAATAATGGTACTATTACTATATGGTATTTTCATTGTTGCCATTCTATCTTTTTTCCAAGGGTTTGCTGCTCTGGCACATGCCCTTATACATCACAGTTAAAAAGATTAATTATGTACAGTGCATGCAGTTGGAGTAAGAACAGTTATTGCAAGTGTACCCACTGATGTAGCTCAGTTAACAATACAGAAAAGCTAAATAGCACAGAGCAGAACTACTATTTAAGAAATGGCAATGACAGATGTTGTAATTACTTGCTGTTAAACAAGGAATTGTTTCTAAATTTGCATTTAGAAAGCAAGTAATACTTGATGGAAAATACTTCAAGGAAAAATCTTTGTTTTATTAACATCACTAAAAGTCAGCTAAATATTTGTAAGAATTCAGCTCTTAAGGAGGGGTGTGCAGCAAATGTAAATTCTCGGGGGCAGAGGGGAATGTGAGAGGACTGGAGTGCTGACATTGGAAACCTTGGCTTTGGTATTTGTGACTGTTTGCTAGTAGAATGTGTCAGGATAGAAGAACAGCCCCCTCTTAGGAGGTGAGAGGGTGAATAGCAAACAAAAAAAAAGAAAAGGATACTTAAGGAGGCAGGAAAACATCAGCATTTCTCCTTGGGAAGCGTCTTCAGAGTTCTTCCTTTGGAGGACACATCCTTCCCACCAATATGGAGCAAAGTGACACCTCCCACCCACAGCTTCTTGTATACAACTGCCCAAATCCCTGGTCATGCTTTAGATTTGAGCCACATTCCAAATTATATATATATATATATACACACATATACATATGTATGTATGTATTTTTACATCAACAAAAATTACAAAAGTATCAGTATACAGTTTCAAGAACTCTGAAGAACCTCCCTTCACTTGTGATATTTGTGTCCTGAAAATGTCTCATGTTCTTTCTGCTGTAGCAGTTGAGAGGAGAGTTTAATCATGGACAACATGTACAAAGGGAAGAGGATAGGAAGGAAGTTTATGAAGGAATCTGTTCCATAGACTTAAAAAATAATAGAGATTTGCAATGGTTTGAAAAAAAAAAAAAAATTAGAGCTAGATCTCTGTAACAGCACCCCAAGAACTCTAGTTCTTATTAGTAACTCAGGCTCTGGTGTCTGCAAGATGCCAGTCACCTCCCTTGGTTACTTAGTGCCTTGCATTCTGCCAGGCACAATGAAGATCAGTAAACTGTCCAGGAGGTTGCCAGGAGCAGATCTTTTAACCCTCAAAACAGATATTCCCTCTGTACCCCTTCTTAGAGAGCCCATGACAGATTCATGTCCTGGAAAGAACCCTTATGTCTCTTCCCTGCTTCAGAAAAAAACCCCAACAGATCTGGTGGATCTTAAGACTTCTTGAATTCCATTATTTCTGGGCTTTCCATGAACACACTTTATAAGATGTAGTAGATTTAACTCCCCTGCCCCACCCTCCCCCCACCCCCAGCAAACAGAATGATCACTTCTCCTAGGATAGTTTCTCAAACTTTTTACATGACTTTTTTTTCCTTTTCATGAGGAAATTGAGTTTCTGGAGGTCAGCACTGAAAATGGACTTTGGGTCTAAACTGCACTGGGAGTTGACTTTGTCCATCTAGAGCAACAGGCTTTCCAGATTTCATTTTTCTGCCACAGAGCTACAACGCTGACACAAAGCGTAGACTTGAGGGAATAATCTTTGTCCAGTCCTTGCCTAACAGAACTGGTATTTAGAACATGACCCTCTGCAGTTGAAATTGTGAAATTGTGAAATTCATGGCTGTTCTCCCAGGCTTTGGAACTGAAATTGAAAACACTTTTAAACTACAAATGTTACTTAGCTTCTGTGTGCTTGCATATGAGTCTGTTTCTTTGAATTAAATAAGAGTTACTGATGTCCTGGTATGGACTTGAAATTGAGTTGAAAGCTTTCTCCTTCCCTGTCACTGGTATCTTCTTAAATTTCACTGTATCATAATGATTACAGTTTACCTTGTGTTTCATATGAAGAAGGCCTATCTTAATACTACATGTGCTATATTATTTAATATTAGTAAAGGGAACAATACATCTGAAAGATCAAACAGTGTTAGCTTTGCAGTTATTTAATATGCATGAAGATTTGCAACAATCCATACGCAAGAGGTGCAGTTACCTTTAACTTTGGTGAGTCTTTCTCCTGCTGGTGAAAGGGTTCAGAAAGGAGAGGAGGTGAGAAGGAAGCAGTAGACAAGGATGTTGTAGGAACAGAGTGAGAAGTTGGTGCCTTGGCAGAGTGAAATGGAAGATTAGAAGAAAGGTGGAAAGGAGGATCAGAGTGTCCTGATGCTCCCATAGAAAGTAGAGCTGGCTTAAGTATTTAAGAAAAATGAGAAGTAATGGTGCTATAAAACCAGCTTTGAAGGACATAAAATGCTCAATAAGGAGTCATGTAACTAACCTGAATAGTCAGAAATGCAATGCTAATTTTACTATTAGTCAGTCTACTATTCTGGAAGAAAATTCTGCCCTCAGAAATCAAAACAAGTTGCTATTTGTGGCAGTGGATTCCACCTCTGTTCTTATGGTTTTCTCCTGTGTTCCTCACGTCAAGTAAGGACAAAGGCAGCCTACAAGATCTTTCTAAGTAACTAGTTTTACATTTGGCCTAAAACATATTGTCTGTCCTAAGTATCTAATATACGTTTGCATGTGCCAGCCAAAGCAACTGCCTGAACAGTCTGCTGAAATAAGTGCTGAACAGAAAAGATCGGTTCTACAACTTTGCCTAGAAACCACACAAACTGTGTAGCAATATTGTGGCATTTAATAGCTAGTTAATGACTAGCAGACATTTGGGATAGTTCAGTGTTGTACTGTCCCAGAGAGGAACTAGGGAGGGCTTTAGGGTGAAGCATTTGTTTAACTGCCAAACATAATCTGATCTGTTACTATTAGTCACATTCTCGTAACAGAGTCTACTATAAATATACCAGCTGGTGAAGAGACACATGTGAAGTACAAACCGATGAGTCTCTGCAGGAGGCATGTCCCTCCCCCTGAAGGCTGTTGATAGCATTTGCTTGCTGCAGCCTCTGGCTCAGACAGGGTGGCATGTAATAGGCCAGTGAGGAAAATGGTTCACTGGCTTTTCATATCAGAAGCTTGATGGCAGCTAACAAGGACAGAAGGGAAAGGACCAGCAGAATTGATACACCATAGAACTTAGAATGGTGTATACAGCTGCTCTGAGAAGGGACTATCCCCTAACACAGATGGTTTTTATCCAATGTAATAGTATAAAACTGTGCCTGTGCACAACACAAACATGTAAATACAAGAAAAGGGAGAGACTGAGTAAGCTGAGTAATACTGACTAAGCTATCTGAACACAGAAGCCAGGTTTTTCAGAAATTAAAATACCTTATCAACATTCGGTGAAGTGTATCCTTCATAACATACCATGGAGTCTCCTTCACTTGCTATTGGCAATTCTAAATTGTCATGTCCCAGATCCTCCTCTATATAGAGTCTTGTTAGTTCTTCGGCTGTGTCTTGTGCTTCTCTGTAGAAATCTGATTCTTGAGGCTTCGACTGATCCCCTTCATTAATTGACAGATCTGCAGTACACATTTCCTCTTCGTTTTCAGCAGCTGAAGCTAGCGCTCTGGAGATGGAGCCAGCTTCAAGCGGCGAAGGGATGTTACTGACGGTGCCAATGTCTTCACCTTCTCTTGTAGTATCTGACAAGTCTCCAGCTTTGATAACTGAAGAGTCAAGTACACCTCTCAAGTCTTTATCTTTTCCTGGTTTGGTATTGTTGCTGGTATGCTTATATGCTGTGTCGTGAGATGAGCTGGCTGAAGATGAGACAGAGGTAGATACAACAAAGGGCAGAGGAAGAGCTGTAGGAGAGCTGAGAAAGACCTCTGCATTTGGGATAAGGTGATCATCCTGAACTCGGTGAGTGCTATTACCTGGGGATATTGCTACAGACTGGGATGTTGTTAATGCCAAAGAATTGAGTTCTTCTAAGTCACAAAGAAAACTGTCTGAAAATGGTGGAGGAGGTAAGGTGCACATGCTTGAAGGTGAAAAACCGACAGTCCTTGAAAACCAGTCACTAGTGGCAGCCTGGAGAATCTTTTGATCAATGTGTGACCAAGAGGAGGAAAGGTGTCTGGAAGGTGGGGACAGTGATTGGGAAGGCAACTTCAAAAATAAGAAAAACATGGGAATTTAAATAAATAAATAAGCATGACAGAGAACTAGGATATAAGTAGACTGGGAAAGAAAAATGTCTGTGCCATCATCTGGATTATAGGGTATTATTTCAGTGAGCACGGGTGTCTGAAATCATTACTACATGAATCAGAACAGCAGGAAAGACATTTGAAAAATGAAACTGTATCAGGTTCTGGCTTGGGGCTTAAATGTCAAACATGAAGACAGATCTGAATCATTACACTCATGAAGGCGACCTGCATTTGATGTGCTAAAGTTAATGTTACCTTTGGCGCTCTGTTAGTGAGCCTGTCACAGGTTATTAAATCATACAATTAATATTAATGTAATTTTCCCTGAACCATTACTGTTATTTTGAGAATAGTATTTTCAGAAGTACACTTCAAGTGTCATTGAGTATTTCTTCTAAACTGTAATGACTGAGTATTTTCTTCTACTTTTTATTAGTACTTCTGAGTAAATGCTTAAGAAACATCTTTAATACATTGCATACTTTTATTAAGGCATGAACAGCTACAGAATGCATTTTTCCTCAAAAGTAACCCTATTGGTTCAAAGTGACATCAACATTTGTGAAAGGTAGGCAGCCAACAACGCTTTTAAAACAGTGACAGCACAGTACACAGTAGTATATTTTGAGTACCAGTACAGAATATTGATTGAAGTATCCTTCTGGTAAAAGAAACGTCCTTTTGTAAGAATGAGAGACTGGTGAGTCATACGTACACAGCATCAGTAGATATCCATTGCTTCAGTAAATACTGAAAATGTATTTTTGTTACTATTAATCCTCAAAATTAAAATTGAATGAAAAATATTTTGATTTTATTGTTAGAATTATCCAGAATAGTAAGATGTACATCACTAAGTTATCTGGACTACATTAGACTTCAAGCGTTACTCTAGAAGAGGAAAATAATTTCAAACTAAGTTATCTGGACTACATTAGACTTCAAGTGTTACTCTAGAAGAGGAAAATAATTTCAGAAGGCTAAGTTAATGTCACAGAAAAGCGAAGTTAATCTACTTACCTTCTGTTTGAGTCTTCTTGAGGCAAACAGCCGTATTTTATAGTTAGACCAACCTTTATTACAGTCTTTCGTACTGAAGTAAAAAGTCTAGACACTGATACAATGCGGTCTGCTAAAACAGAGCTAGGCTGTTGCAGGCAATACTCAATC